TTTGATCTAATATAATAGGTTGTCCCCCTTGCTCAGAATCCTCTAAATCATTCTCATCGATCCTTGCTGGCTCATCAGCATGACTGTCAACTTGTGTCTCTCTCCCTGAGTAATACTATCTGGAGGCAAAAAAGACAGGTGCAAGGTCAGTGACACCCTTAATAACATGTCTTTGATTCCCAGATTTCTCAACATCTGCCAATTTCTAATTTTCATGAAAAATCACATCTCTACTTCTGAATATTTCTTCTTTTCTGGATCCCATAATCGATAGTCAAATTCTACATCTCTGTAGCCAACAAAAATGCAAGAACTAGCTTTTAATCTAGTTTCAACCGTTGTTCTTTAGCCATATGTGCAAATACTTTACACCCAAAAACCTTCAAGTGAGAATAAGAAACATCTTTTCCTGTCCACAATTTTTCTGGAATCTCGAAATCTAAAGAAGCTGATGGAGACCTATTAATTAGGTAGCACGCTGTTTGAATTGCTTTACCCCTGAATGACTTAGGTCACCCAGCCATCCTTAATATGCTTCTGACCTTTTCTACAATGACACAGTTCATTCTCTCTACCACACCATTGTGCTGTGGAGTATCAGGCACTGTCTTTTCATGTCTAATACCGTGTTCTGAGCAGTAATTTTTAAACACTTTAGATGTTTATTCCCCTCCATTATCAGTTCGGAGACACTTCAAAAGCTTTCCACTTTCCCATTTCGCCATGGCATGGAATTTCTTGAAATATTGGAAAACTTGGTCATTTGATCTTAAAAAGAAATACCCATAACTTTCGTGAAGCATCATCAATAAAAGTAAGAAAATACTTATTACCACTTAAGGACTCCACCTCAATAGGACTACACAAGTCAGAATAAATCAAATTCTAAAACATTAGATTTTCTACTAGAGGATTTCTGAAAGGATACTTTATGCTGTTTACCAAATAAACAATAATCATAAGAATTTAATGATGTATCTTTGGTAAAAGAAATGAGAGACTTCTTTACCAAAATTTGTAATCCTTTCTCGCTTATTATGCCACAAGTCTGGTAAAGATTTACTTTCAGTTGCATTTACTGCTTCACTACACACTTTTACTTGTGTCTTGTAAAGTGTGCAACAAACCCTTCTTTTAGCAAATACCATTGACCCTTTTGTTAGTTTCCATCTTCCTCTACCAAAATAACTGTTATACTCTACTTCATCAAAGGCATGTGTAGATAGCAAATTTAGGCACATGTCAGGATCATGTCGCATATTCTTCAATGTCAACCTGCATCCAATATTTGTCTAAAGACAGTATCACCAATTTTCGCAATATTGGCAAAATTGTCATTACCCATCTTCACTCTGCCAAAGTTACCTGATTTGTATGAAGTGAAGAACTCCCGTCTTGGAGTAAGATGGTAAGAAGCTACTGAGACAATAACCCATTCAACAAATGAATCTACAACATGACAGCACTGTTTATCTTCAACAGGAAAAACTGCTACTACTACTTCTTCATCTGAAGTACTAGCTGCTGTGTTCAGATCAGTCTTCTTCTGATTTTTCTGCTCTTTCAATTCATTTTTCCAAGCCATGAAATGTTTCTTTATATGACCCTATTTATCACCATAAAAACATTTGACATTTCCTCTTGTCTTTGACTGACTTTAGAAATTACCACGTCTCTTAGGACCTCTACTTCTACTCATACCTCTGTTCTTTGTAATAAGAGTTTGTGCATGATTCTTACCCAAGTCTTTCTTTTGTATTTCTTCATTGAACAAGTTGTCTTTAACTAGGGTAAGTTCAAGCATACCATTCAGAGCAGAGTTACTAAGTGATACCATCAAAGTCTCCCAACTATCAGGCAATGCACTCAAAAGTAATAGTGCTTGCATCTCATCATCTAGCACTATTTTCATTGTGGTCAACTGATTTACCAAGCCTTGGAATTCACTCAAATGCTCAGCAAGTGATTTTCCTTCCTTTAGGTTCAGATTCACGAGCTTTCTAATAGCAAAAGTTTTATTTTGAGCGGTCTTTCTCTCATAGAGACTCTCCAAATTTTTCCAAAGACTATCTGCGTCCATCTCATGAGATATATGATGGAATACATTAATGTCAACCCACTGTCTAATATATCCTTCTATCAAAATCTCGCAAGCATACGGGTTCGTTGTACAAGTAATAATCGTGATGAGAGAGCTATTGTCTCATAGGGAATAAGGATTAATTCTAGTATATTTGACATATTTAAATTCATGTTTGTAACCGAAAGACGATTGATGAAAAACGAACTAATTTTTATAACTAAAATTTATGAAATCGATGAAAATTGATCTTAAAAAATCAAATGTGTGAACGTATTGGATTTCTGACGCCATTGATCAATATTTAATTCTAATTCTCAACTAATAATAATTATCTTAATTCATGCAATTGTGACGATCGATAATTTCACTTTTATTTATTATTCTTTTTCAAGATATAATAAACCTAAGGTTACCACGAGACAATCATATTCCTAGTCCGAATTCATATGACAAACATGCATTGACATTTAGGATTATCACATATGATCACATACGTCAAAAATATTATTCCTAAAATTTATTGTCTGTGTGTTCCAATAACAATGTTCTACCTACCATAAGTTTTTCAACACTACGAATAAGCAACTTATTGTTTTAATGGTGCGCAAACATTAAAACAATGTAAATAGGCATATTACTGAAATCACAACACAAGAATTAAAATAAAAACATGGATCTCAAATTAAAACTAAGAATTAAATAATTTTGTCATCCATCTAATACATGAAAAGCCTTAGTCTAGCATAATGTTGGAATTAAACATATAAAAGAGGAACGACGTCATCGAAATTTGACGGAACGTAATTAATTCTTCACTTTTTCTTGGCTCTTCACCGTGTATGTGTGTCTCTTCCCAAGCTGTCGGCAATTATATATGTCTCTCTTGAATTCCAGCAGTCCCTGTTGGTGTGTGCGTCAGTAAGAGTTTTTAGTGGCTGCAATTTTAATTCCTCTATAATTCCCCACCGACAATCCCTTTTGTAGCGTGTATATATACACATATAATTTCCTTCCAAACAGCTGCAATGTTTGACCCATAGAAACTTCAAATTTTCCCAAATTTCCAACTGGAATTCTGTGTTGTAATTGTGTATATATATCTATAATCAGCACTTGCAAAGTAGCAGCCCACCTTGTTTGACTCCAAAATGGAACCCCATTTTCTGTCTTTTATTCCAACAGTCGGTAATTGTCTCCCCTCTCCCTCCGTTGGCTGCCTTATTCAATGTATATATATGATAATTTCCCCAAGTTAGCCCGTTAGCCCTCTTTTCTTTTATTTTTTTCTCAGCCGCAAGTCACCAGTTTTTTTTTATAGGTTTTATTCTCCAATTCTCCTCTCTTTCTTTCACGTAATCTTGGCTGCCCCTTTCAATGGTTTTGTCTCCCTTGTGTATATAAAATCCCCAAAATTGGCTCCAATACAAGTCCTTGAAGGTTTTGTCTTCTGCCAACACGCTTGTTGCCACCAAATTCTTCGAAGTGCCCACTTTTCTATGATTTTCTCCAATTTCAAGTGAAAAGCCGCCTAAATTTTTTTTCAAGAAACTCCCAACTGCCTCCTTTCTTCCTCCTTTATAATTAATGCAAATTAGTCATTTTCTTCATTGTTTCCTCAATTTTGATCCTCCAACTATTATTCAAGTGAGCTTTGGTCCGTAAACTTCGATTTAATACCCAATTGATCATTTTCTTTTCCAATTACTTTAAAACGGGTCAAACACTGAAACTAACAAAAAATAATCCAAATTAAATAAAATTCAATAATTTAACAATATAAAAAGTTTAATAATATGGTCTAAATAAGCGCAAACATTGCACTTATCAAACACCCCCCAAACTAAGCCTTTGTTCGTCCTCGAACAAAACTATAACATAAATAATGACAAACACACAAACATGCAAAAATATTTGATTGGACCATTTAGCTTTTTACCTCAGGATTTGAAATCATGACATTAAATCTACAAACTGTTTCAAAGTGACAATACTAAACTAATGTCAACTTTTCCAATGCAAAATCGACGTATATATGTGTGAAGAACTAAATTGACATGAATGAATTCACAAATTGTTCCAATTCCCGACCCTATATGGTCAAATATATCATTTCACCTCTCGTAAGATTTACACACCCCTAAACTTATTCATTTTCACTCTTTTCTCAATGTGTGATCTAAGATTGAATTTTTCATTACCATCCTCACCCTCTCCAATTCAGGTGGACATAACTAGTTGCAAGTCAATACATTAATGAATAAGGATTCTCCAATTATTTAATTGCTTCGACCGTCAAGATTCAATTAGGTTAATTATCCTTCATCAAAAGTCAAATTTACTTGAATGAATGTTGGGACTTACAAGGCATTTAGTGCTTTTTTTTTCTTTTTTTTTTTCTTTTTACGCTCTATGTTAAGCTTTCTAGATGACCCATATAGCAGGTTTTAGGTCGATAATTCCCAAATCAGATGATTTTTTAGGGCACCAGTTCTTTAAATACACTTACAAGCTTAATAACCCGAGTAAAAAAGGCTTCGAAGAGAACAAATTTTTTAGGATAACTTCATCTCTGATTACTTTTTAAATAACCCCTGTAACGAACTTTAGGCCGACAACTCCCAAATCAGATAACTTTAGGACACCAGGTTTTAAGATACCCTTGCAGACTTAATTGCTCAAGTCATAAAATCTCTGAAGAGAAATTTTAAATTTCAAAATATATGCCTTGATTAGTGCAATGTCCCTTATCACACACCTATTCAAGCAAATTGACTTCCAGTTTAAGACTTTCACTCAATTTTATCTTGTTAATCTCAGATAATCCATACAAACTTTTTCACAGTATAAGATTGTTCGAGATAATTACTAGAAGTGAATTCTTTTCCCCCAAGTATGCATAGCGAAGATGAGTGGGCAGCTATTTGAGTTCAAGAGCTGGAGCTTGTTCTATAGATGCTAAAAGTGTTGTGGGTCTTTCACCGAGCTCTAATCGTGGTTGCTTGAAGAATGGTGGTATGACTGTCAAATAACGTGCATATTCTTCTGCTTCCTCATTTTCTGATGGTAAATACTGAGAATGCACTAAACACGCCTCAAGCGGATCTTGAGGGTGATCTTGTTTGAATGTCTTTGGCACCGCTTCTTTTATTACATCAATCTGCATGTAAGAATCCAATTCTCTTTGAAATCTAAAAGCTCTAAATATGTTAATTATCAGTTCTTCTTCATTTAACCTCAATATCAATTGACCCTTTTGTACATTTATCAGAGCTGTTCCCGTATCCAAAAATGGGTGACCCAATATGAGAGGGACGTCCCTATCTTCCTCCATATCCAGAATAATAAAGTCCGCTGAGAAGATAAACTTGTCGACCTTCACCAAAATATCTTCACAAATACTTCAAGGGTACTTGATTGACCTGTCAGCCACCTACGGTAAAACTGTAGCCGGTTTTGCTTCTCCCAAACCTAATTTTCGAAAAAGAGATAAAGACATTAAATTAATGCTAGCTCTTAAATCACACAATGCTTTATCTATATATAAATTACCAATGTTACAAGGAATAGTAAAACTCCCTGGATCTTTTAACTTCGGTGGTAACTTATGTTGGAGACTTGCGCTACACTCCTCAGTAAGCATGACAGTTTCATTATCCTCTAGCTTCCGCTTATTTGATAGAATATCTTTCATGAACTTGGCGTAACTAGGCATCTGAGCTAAAGCTTCAACAAATGGTATGTTAATGTGCAGCTTCTTGAACACATCTAAAAATTTCTGAAATTGCTTGTCGAGCTTATGTTTTTGCAATTTCTGTGGAAATGGGATCAGCGACACATATGCTTTGACAGGAGTTGCCTTCTTCTGTGGACTATCTGATGACTCAACTTAATTTTACTCTGTGGCTTTGTTTGATTTATCCACTTGCTCTTCGCCCATGGTAGGTGCCTTTTCTATGATAGTTGCTGGCCGCTTTACATATATTTCGGGTAATTGGACGCCACTACTTGTAGTGATTGCTTTGACCTGCTCCTTAGTATTTTTTTCAGTATTGCTAGACAATGTCCCTTGAGCTCTACCTAATAGTGCAGCTGCAATTTATCCAACCCGTTGTTCCAAATTCTTGATCGAGGCTTGTTGGTTCGAAAAGTTAGTCTCAGTTTTAGTAATGTATTGAGTTAGCAAATCTTCCAACGATGGCTTTCTTCTTTGCTTTGTTGCTGTTGGAACTCTGGTAGTTTATTTTGATTGCTTTCTCCCTGTTCTTGTCCCTGATTATTGGAACATGAAAAATTTGGATGGTTCCTCCAACCCGGATTATATATGTTGGAGAAGGGATTATTTTGTTGTCTCTGAAAGTTCTGCGCGTAGCTTACTTCTTTAGGCTGATTAATATGCGTAGACGCCAAAAGGCAGCATGTACTAGCATGATCCGCTCCACAGCCTTCGCAAACAGGTGGCGATCGGTGTACCATGTTGACTGATTTAGATAGATTTTCCCTTTTCATTGTAAGAACTTCTATTTGCGTGGTCAGTGCTATCACTACATCCACGTTGTGTAACCCTGATATTTTCCCTGGAGCTTCCCTATCTTCAACTATTTTTTCATACAAATCATAGGCCTCATCGACATCAAATTTCATAATCGATCCTTTTGAAGCATCTATCATATTCTTGAACTCCTGTTTCAGATTGTAGTAGAAGAGATATTGCTGAGCCTGCTTAGTAATGTCAAGACTGGGGCATTTTCTAAAAAATTCTTGAACCTCTCCCATAACTCAGGGTAGCTCTCGAGATCTTTTTACTTGAAGGTGTGGACATCATTCCTAATTTGGTGAACTCGAGAAGGTGGAAAAAATTTCATAGTGAATTTTTGAACCATATCGTTCCATGATTGAATGCTCCCTGGAGGTAAACTGAGGAATCATTCTCTAGCAGCGTCCTTCAAGGTATGAGGAAATAATCACATTCGGAATGCATCTGCTAATTTTCCTTCGTAACTGATCACTTCACATAACATGAGAAAACAAAAAATATGCTCATGAGGATTCTCCGTGGCTTTTCCAAAAAAACTTGATGTCTTGGTGATTTTGAAACAAATTGATGACATCAGGTGAAAATTAGGTTGTCCGAAGGGAAGATATACCACAGCAGGTTGCACTGGTGTGGGAATTGGATTGACGTAATCTCCAACTAAGATAGGAGTTTTGTTCTGGATAGCTCTCGGTTGATTTGGCTGCGGTATTTGCTCGTGAAGCTGAACTTGATTCTGTGGTTGATTTTGGCTATCAGCCATTCTCCTTGCTTGACGTTTAACTCTTTTGTGATTTCTAAATATTTTTTCGATTTCATGGTCTATCGAAAGAAGATCTGGCTCGTCGAAATTTTGCATAAACTAAAGTTGCCTAAAAAGCATCAAAACACAACAAAATTAAGCGGTGTAATGGTAGCCTAAAAACAACAACTAAAAATGAAATAAAAATAAAAAAATAAAAATGAATTTAAAATAACTAATAACTAAAATTAACACCGTTATTCCCCAACGCCAAAAACTTGTTCGTCAAAATCCCGCAAGCGTACGGGTTCGTTGTATAAGTAATAATCATGATGAGAGAGTTATCGTTCCATAGGAAATAAGGATTAATTCTAGTATATTTGATATATTTAAATTTGTGTTTGCAACCGAAAGACGATTGATGAATAATGAACTAAAACTTAAGAAATCAATGAAAATTGGTCTTAAAAAATCAAATGTGTGAACGTATTGGATTTTTGACGCCACCGATCAATTTTAATTCTAATTCTCAACCAATAATAATTATCTTAATTCATGCAATTGCGACGATCGATAATTCCACATTCATTTATTATTCTTTTCCAATATATAATAAATTTATGGTTACCACGAGACAATCTTATTCCTAGTCCGAATTCATATGGCAAACATGTATTGACATTTAAGATTATCACATATGATCGCATACGTCACAAATATTATTCCTAACATTTATTGTCTGTGTGTTCCAATAACAGTGTTTTACCTACCATGAGTTTCTCAACACTACGAATAAACAACTTATTGTCCTAATGGTACGCAAGCATTAAAACAATGTAAATAGGCATACTACTGGAATCACAAAACAAGAATTAAGATAAAAACACATGTCTCGAATTAAAACTAAGAATTAAACAATTTTGTCATCCATCCAATACATGAAAAACCATAGCCTAGCATAATGTTGGAATTAAACATATAAAAGAGGAACGACATCATCGAAATTTGACAGAACATAATTAATTCTTCACTTTTTCTTGGCTCTTCACCGTGTAAGTGTGTCTCTTCCCAAGCTGTTGACAATTGTATATGTCTCTCTTCAACTCCAGCAGCCCCCGTTGGCATGTGCGTCAGTAAGAGTTTTTAGTGGCTACAATTTTAATTCCTCTCTAATTCCCTACCGGTAATCCCTTTTGTAGCGTGTATATATACATATATAATTTCCTTCCAAATAGCTGCAATGTTTGACCCACAGAAATTTCAAATTTTCCAGAATTTCCAACCGGAATTCTGTGTTGTAGCTGTGTGTACATATATCTATAATCAGCACTTGCAAAGTAGCAGCCCACCTTGTTTGACTCCAAAAAGGAACCCCTTTTTCTGTCTTTTATTCCAAGAGTCGGTAATTGGCTCCATTCTCCCTCCATTGGCTGCCTTATGCAATGTATATATATGATAATTTCCCCAAGGTGGCCCACTTTTCTTTTACTGTTTTCTCAGTCGCAAGTCACCAGTTTTTTTTCTATAGGTTTTATGATGCAGGAGGATCCGAGTCAAGCGATGCTGATTTGCCAGATAACACGATGATGGCACTGAGATATCATGAGATGGCGGATCGGCGCAAAGATAGAAAGTGAATCTCAATTATTTCCTTAATTAGGGGAATTTGACACGTCTTTGGTGATTTGACCATAACTTTGGCTACGGTTATTAGAATCGCTATTATGACTCCAATCCAGAAAGTTATCTTTGGTACGCACATCATGAATACCCAGCTTCGCTCGATGGGCGTCAATTTCGAGCCCAAAATCCGCTGTTTTCCTTTCCAAAATTTAATTTTTAGTTATTTTTTTGCTATTTATGGTAATATTCCGTTTCCCCTTTTTCATATGTTAGAAAACTCGAATTGAGCCAAATTTTTGGGAACTTCTTTTATTTAATATTTAATTCTGGTGTAATTTTTGGATTTTGCCATTTTTGATAATTTTCCTATAATTTCGTATTTTGCAACTATTTAACCCGGCTTGTTGGTTAATTTCGGTCATTCTGCATTATTAATAATATTGAGTTGATTTTAAAGTATTTTCTCTGATTTTTGGGTGTTTTTCTTTCGTTTCTTTCTTGCGAACCATCTGCTACAATAAGCCAATATGATAATCACTATTCTACCAGACGTCAGTTGGTATCAGAGCGTTAGCATCTTCTTGGGAGATAAATTCCATCAGTTGTAATGGTTGGTGGACGTGGTCGTTGTCGTTAAGGACAGGTTTGGATTGAGAAAGTCCCACACCGTGATCGTAATATTCAAGATGTTACGATTGAAGATTTGCAGAGATAAGTTGCGGAGTTAACCCAACGTTTGGCGAAGCAGGAGTTCGGTAATCATGATGTGGAGGGTTACGATTCCGATACCAGTTTCGAAAGCCCATACCACCATCGTGCTCGAGTTTGGGAGCATGTGGATACCAGGATCGTCATGTGGATCTCGGTTTCAGAGTGAATCCGCCCGAGTTTTCTGGTACGTTGCAGGCTGAAGGATTTATTGATTGGCTGAATGAAGTGGAGAGGATTTTTGAATATAAGGAGGTTCCAGATTGTGTCAAAGTGAAACTGGTCACCATTAAACTCAAAGGTAGAGCATCTGCATGGTGGGAACAGTTGAAGCGTTCACGGGAGCGACAGGGAAAATCCAAAATTACTGACTGGGAGAAGATGAAGAAGAAGATGAAATGGCACTTCCTCTTTTTCGGCTATACTCAAACCTTGTTTCAGAGGCTCCATTCACTGAGGCAAAGCGCAAGATTAGTCAATGATTATACTGAGGAATTCTATCAGCTGGTGGCTTGGAATGATTTATCTGAGAAGGAGGAGCAGATGGTAGCACGGTATTTGGGAGGATTAAAGTAGCCTCTATAGGATGTTCTCAGCCTTCATTCATTGTGGATGGTTTTTGAGGCATATCAGCGAGCACTTGCAGTGGAGAAACAACAGAGTAGGAAGCCAATGGTCAGAGGTGAAGGTAGTCAGCCAGTTCACCCTCAAGAATCTCGTCTTGCTTATCAGCCACATCGGGACAATTCCAGTTCAAGTATTAAGTGTTTCAGGTGTGGTGAACAGGGGCATAGGGCGTCTGATTGCAAGAAGCCTACTGGTCAGAAGAATAAAAATCTTCTAATTGAGAAGGATAGGAGGCTATCTAGAAGCTGCAACTGAAGATGGATCGTCATCCTAAACCATACAAATTGTCTTGGCTGAATAAAGGCAGTGAGGTAATGGTAGAAAAAAGGTGCGTAGTGTCTTTTTTGATTAGAAAAAAATATTTTGATAATGCCTGGTGTGATGTGGTATCAATGGATGCGTGTCATGTTTTGTTGGGATGACCTTGGCAGTATGATCGCAGCGTTATCTATGATGTGTGGAAGAATACTTATTCTTTTAG